CATTTAATTATGCACTTTCCATAAACATGGAAAAATCACCAAATTTTCATGCACATTTTTTATTTAACTATTTTCGGTAGAAGGACAGGATTATTTAAAAACAAATTCTCCATCCCGTCAACCATGTTCTGTGGAATTGTTTTTCCTGGATGATTATTAATGCAGCTAATGAATAATAACAATATCCAATAATTGCGTAGCACATAGACTATTACAAAATGCCATGTGCCTACATAATGTACATTCGTATGTTTGTTATGTCTTAACCCTAAAAAGGCCGGGCTATTTGAGGTCTTACTACGGCCGGGGGGGGGGGGGGCATTATGGCCCCCTTAAGATCTCGGCCGTGAACCGGCCGATCTCCGCGAAAATTTGCACGCATGTCAAGTGAAGTGTATAGAATAATATAATAATTTCAAATTTTTGATAAAATTTCATAAAATCATATTTTTACCCATAAATCATATATAAGCATTCTTTTTCACTACATATATTCATTAGACCATTTGGAATAAAAAAAAAAAATACAGCTTATTTCTTGTGTTATCTCTTGTCTTTCTTATGTATTTCATCGTTTTTTAACTTAAGTATTTTATTGTTTTTGTTGTTTTATTTTATTTCTTACTACAATTCAACTATTTTGACTCCAAAAACAACCACCTAAACTTTAAAAAAGACCCAATAACCGATGTTTAATCTATTTTTTGGAAAAATGACATTTCAATGTGTTTTGTACACAAATATAAATCTGTGCAGCATTTGTATCTAGTCGGATCAATATCATCAATAACATGATACTTACTTAGTATTACGTGCACGTGGGTTAAGTTTACTTAACTTGTTATCCTTAGAATGGATTGGAAATGGATTAGAATGGATTTGATTGTGCCCACTACATGTACATTATATCAGATGATGTGACTTTGGGTATTCTATCCACAATGGCTTATACAATCGTTATTCAGGGTATGTGTTTACCAGCATATATTTATATGAGGTATGAGGTTGTATATTTAATAATGTTATTCTGTATATTTGTATATAATTGGGTTTTAGCTCACGCACAGAGGACTACAAACATGGCCGATAATTATTGCCAGCCGATTCTTGTCAATGGTGAATTGATGCCTACAGTACCAGAGTACATGCCCTCGTTTCCCGTCTCATTGAAGGGTTTTAAACGACATTTCGTTTGCAAGTTATCTGGTGAGTTTGACGTTTTTAGTGATGATCATAACAATTATGACATGTCAGTCCAATTTGTTGACCGATCAAAAAAATGATGAATCATTGGAGTGAATGGTAGACATAGGAAAATTATGATTCTTGAGCAATCAGAGTAATTATACAATTACGGACCTATTAACGACTAAAATGTACGCATGATTTAAGAAATTGAAACGTTTTTGAGGTGAGAGAGGAGTCAATATCGAAACTTTTTCAAACGTAGAAATATGCAATAGTGATGCCTTGGTCACATTATTTTGCCTCGGCGACCGTGCGGTCTTAAAAATCTACGGCCAACAGCAATTATAGGACCACCGCAGCATTCCCACGGTCACATACGGTAGCGGTCACACATGTTAGGGTAGCCACACGGCGTATTTTTAATTTTGTGGAGACATAAAAGGCCTTCGGTGACGCACGGTCTCCGCAGGGCGTCCTGCGGCGGCCGTAGCTTTTCGACAAATAATAAGACAGACACAAAGACGCCGCAGGGTGCCCGCACGGCGGCCGAAGGGGATCAATAGGCGACCGTGCGCCCCTGGAGAATATAAAACGCAAGGCTACCGTACACTCGACGTACGGTCGCCGTGAAACCGCTTTACGGCATGGCTACGGTGTGTCTAATCGCTATGGCGAACCTAGAAATGAAAACAGTTATAACTCCGCGTTATAATCCAACGGCGACCCGTACGGCATATAAAGATAGGAATACTCCAGATTCTCTGCGGCCGCCACAAGTATCTCTCGATTTCGGGGGCGTACGACCGCCGTATCCTAGCCGTAGAGCAAATGTTACCTAGGCATAAATGCCTAGGTCACATTTGCCTTGGCGGTCGTGTGGTCTATCATAATTATTTACGGCCAACATATAGGGCCGTCGCACCATTCACACGGTCACATGCGGTAGCGGTCACATAATTAAGATAGGGTAGCTGTACGGAGTATTTGTAATTGGTGGACAGAAAACCTGTGGCTGTCGTACGGCCTTGAAGTGATGACGCGCGGCGACCGTAGAATTTTTGACAAATACCAAGGCGCCCGCAGAGGGACCATACGACGATATCCCCATATCTCCGCCACATACCTGCTCCACGAACGGCGCGAAAAGCCACGGGGGCAGTACGGATGTCGCGCGGCGACCTTACCGGAGACGTACGTGGGCCTTGTACGTGGGCCATACCGCAAGACCACCGTACGGGCCTCGTAGGGCCTCCTAAAGGCTGCCCTTGGGCACCCTTGGAATTCCTTCGGCCGCCGCAAAAAAAGTCAATTGTAATTGATAAGGCCCTAGGGCAACCGCACGGCAAACGCAACGCCACCGTGCGCCCGACGGTTGGTCGCCGTTCAGTTGCAATTGCAGTGCAGTAGCCGTGCAGTCTCCTCAGCATCCGCACGGAAATCGTACGGGAGCCTGTGCAGCTTTCGTGCAGAGGTTGCGTGAGAAAGCGCGTTGACCGTGCAGCCGCCGTTCCGTTTTTTGAGCGTTTTTTTGCCCCCATGTTCACCAAAAAATCGTGCGTTTGCTGCACGATCAGCGCGAGGCCTCCGCTCGATGCCCGTGAGGGGATCGTGCAATGGAAAGAGTAATAAAATATAATGTTTACGAGCAGAAATTTATATATATTTTTTTTGTATCGCTCGAAATCTAAATGTCTTCGTTCAACTTAAATTCGTTTTCAGCATCCACTACTTCTCTTGAAGCAACAATTAATTCTATATTGGACTCGACCACACCAAATCCCACTACAACTACAGGTAAGCATTTTACATATATACATATTGTATGGGGGTAATTGTAGTTTAACAAGAATTAATTCCTCATTTTTCCTTCAAAAGAGAGCGATTCGCATGGTCACTCACTTATATTATATATCACACACGGAACCTTTATTTAATCGTTTAAAAACATTAAAAATACAAGATATTTACATTTTTCAGTCGAGCACTTTTATGTATACATATTCTCATAATCAACTACCATCGCTATTTTTAGAATATTTACAGTTTAGACTCAAACATTCACACATACCCCACCAGTTGTTCAACATATTATCACTTAGAAAATCCTAAAATAATTTTAGCCCAAAAGTTAGTAACCCAATAAAAATCACGTCGTTATCAGATTTACGTTCTTCAAGCACTCGACAATTACGTGATTGTGTTAACACGTTTCTTGTACTAGGTCACTTATAAAACACGTACACTAAATCACGTAATTGTCACTAGAATATCACCATTACAATAACGTGATTATCCCTACCTTGGATACCATGGTTTGTAAACCTAATACTCCCGTTTTTGTTTGGTTATGAAATTACATCTTCATATTAAAACGAAATTATCACATTCTTCAGAAGTTTTAAAATCGCGTCACAGAAACACGTGAAGCGTTAGTGATAGTTTTAGTCAAAATATCTGCGTGAAATTCACATAAATATTAAGAGGCTGACTTGAGATGAATCGTGTTCTTCATTCACGTGAAATTTACGTCGAAGAGGAAATATGTTACTGTAACCCGCGTTCAATCCAATAATTACGCAAATGTTACACAATAAATGAACCAAAATAATGACGTTCTCATCGTGTCTTGGATCCTTAAAAGTCACGTCCTGGCGCGCCGGAAGCAGTTTAGGATTAGAGGGGGTGGGGGGGGGGGGGGGGGGAGGTATGGAGGGTGCAAACATCCCAGAAGGAATAGCTAATTGCAACTGGTTCAGTTGAAGAACCAGTCAATGCCAACTGGTAATACCCTGGAACTAATTGAAACGGGCTAAATGATCCAGTTGATCCAGGCCAGTTAGAATTCAACTGGTCTAGCTGAGCAAGTAGAACCATTTGGTAAAACTTCCAACAGTTGAAGCTCCAGGCCAGTTGAAAAACTACTTTACTTTGTCCTGGTTAATTGCGAATGGCAACAACACTTCAATACCGGTTCGTCTGTAATTCAAATGTAAAGGCATTGGTAGACTTAAATAATTTAATTAATCGAAATGTTTCCATATACTTGTATTTTATTGAAATCATTTTAGTTTATAGTTAATGTTTCCTTATTCATGTTTAATTTAATGTAATTTATACGAAGTAGTGAAATGTCTTAATAACTGGCAATTTATATTTGTAGTATTTTCGAAATTAAATGCATATAACTAAATCATAAGTAATTCAGAAATATGCTGTAAATTCAGATAAATTGTTTAAAAAAAACATAGATCTGCACGCAACCCTTACTTAATATGCAAATTAACTGGTGTCAACTGGTTCAACTGGAAATATGCCCACGGACCAGGTTTCAACTGGTGCAACTGGTAATATGCCAACAAAAAGTCATCAACTGGTGCAACTGGAAATATGCACACAGACCAGTTATCAACTGGTGCAATGGAAATTTGCCAACAGTCAGTTATCAACTGGTGCAATAAAAATTTGCCAACAGTCACAGGACTATCACCACCGAACTTAAATGGTAACTGTGAAACCATCAATACCTCACCTTTCACACCTAAAAAATCACAAATACACACCTAAGATCAATAATCAGTTTGAGTCACGAGATCATTACCACGGAACTTATACTGTCTACGCTTCGTTAAGGTATTGTATAACAGCGTCTGGAATGTGACTGAAGTGTATACCTTAATTGATCATCTCCTTACCAGCTCTCAAGAACGAAGAACCACAGATATTGATTTGTACATTAGCACATTTGAAGAACGTACGAGGAAAAACTTTGGGGAATAAAATTACCTCCTTCCACCCGTTTATTTCAGAATCGACTGCAAAGATGTTTTTGACAGGTGAAGACGGGATTTTTGTTGCAGATCTACAAGATGACCTAAACTTCACTTCTATACAATCCACCGATCGACCCAATTATATGACCTATGACTCCGTGGAGAAGAAGCTCTACTGGGGTGACAGGGGTACAAAACGAGTTTATCGTGCTGATGATGATGGAGGAAACAGGGAGGAGGTCACTTCTGGAAACGACAATGGTATGGTATAGAAAATGATTTAAACATAACATAGAATCATATCATGAATCTTGGTATATAAAAATAAAAAGTAGCAAGGAATCTGACACAATATGACACTGGAATGGAGCTGATGGCAGAGAATATATTCTTAATGGGAGGAATATCAAATAACTTTGAATGTATCATGATTTTGATATTTATCATGTTTGCTTATTAAATGCTATTATCTTCTGTCTATCTATTTCGGATCAAAAAAAGAAGAAGAAAAAAAGAGAGAATTTAAAGTAAACAAATCGTTAGTAGCCCCCTACCCCCCCCCCCCATTTTAAGATGTTTATAATTCATGATTTCATTTGAATCGTAGACCCACGAGGAGTTGCGATCGCTGAATTGTCACGCATTCTATACATCGCCTACGATGGGGCAAAGAAAATAACGACTGTGGATATTGGACAAGGTAGCGCATTTCCAGGGAATGAGGCGAACTTTGTAACCGGATTAACCGATGGCCCATTGTCGTTGGAGATGGATGAGGAACAGGGGTAACTTTAATCACGTAATCATACTGATGGTTCGGAAGTAGAGTTGGGGTTGTTAAAGGGATAGTTGAGTTCTATTGCAGAGGGCGCTAAACAAAATAATTTTGCTGTGAGATAATGAAAAACTGGGTGTCAAATTTGACAGAACATACAATTTAATTGACAAAATCATCTTTGTTTGATCAAAATCGGTTCAGAGACGGCTGAAATATCCATAAATATTACGATTTCTAATACTTGTGTTCTACCACAAAATATTAGATAATTTGAAGAAAAAAAACGTTGACAAAACGAAATAGCGCCTTTTACGACGTATTTTAACCAATTCCGATGTTGGCTTTTTTGTTGGCATTTTCGTGTTGGTTCTATTACGCACAACTAGCCATGTATTGTTATTTTTAATTTTTTGTTTATTTATTTTTATTTATTTCATTTTATTTCAACAGGGTAGCCCTATCAGTAGTTAAAATACTGTTATTCTTGGGGGCCCTAATTAAATAATTAATTAACGGTCACCGTATTTTTTTTTAAGTGGAGCTGAATTGGTATGGTCGTATTCGGCTAAATTTCACACGTGTTCGGGTCTAAACATAGTAATACAGATAATAATAATAATAATAATACTAATGAGAATAATAATTTTAATAATAATTACCAAAATATACAAATGCAGCAAGTACATGGAGTTGCAAGGCTTGCTTTTTATATACGATTTTCAATACTGAAACTTTAATAAGAGGCCATTTTTCGCCGCTGCAATGCTTGAAATTGTTACTTTAGGGAATTCACATCAGGTTTACTCAAACGACAATGCAGGAAATGTTTCATTTCTATCAATGGTTACCCCTATCATGTCGGTGAGAGGATAACGTCATGAAATTCTCTGATTTTGTTGATGTTGATATGAATTTTCAGGACACTTGATTTTTCAGATTCTTGTATTGGTCAATGGAAAACAAGATCCGGCGCAAACCTCTCAATGGATCTGGAAGCACGGAGACTGTATACCGTAACACAGATCTACAAAAAATTGGCGGATTAAGCATTGAACTCAGCCGTATGTATTTTATATTTAGAAGGGTTTGATAAAATGACATGTCATTTCAAGAAAGAATGATAAATGATAAATGGAGAAACTAAAATTTGTTTCGATAGGGCAGGCTTATACTTTTGTATAAGTCTGAACACAATATGCATTAATATGGGGAGAAAGAGTGTTAACATATCAATTAAAAAATATACGAAGACATGTAATACAATACAATGATGATGTGATTGTCCAATGAAAATACATGTTACGAGGTTTTGTATAGCGTAAATGTATGTCACACTTGACACCAATAACGCTCCACAATACCCCTACATTGACCTCTGCCATACGTATTTCTTATTCAAAAGGGTCATGTCAGGTGGTTAGTATTTCTTGAAGGCCTTTAATTGGTATGCAAAACCATGGATTTATCATGGAAAGATAACTATATTGCACTTTATTACCATTTCACGGTATTCCTTTCATTCAATACTATAAACATGACTTTGGTGATATGATATAATAAGGTAACAGACATTATATTCCACATACTAAGAACCTTGCTCTACGATTGGTCAAAAGTAAATCACGTGATGAAAGATAGTTCGCCCAATATTGATGGGAGAAGCAAAAAAAGTTTGTTACACTGTGTAGATAGTACAACTATCTACACAGTGTAACGCACTTTCACTGAAGATAGAGGTACTATATACACAGGGCAACGCACTTTCACTGAAGATTATCTAAAAGCGCACTATAACAGGCGTAATTAAGCGCGCATTAGCAATGAGCGCAATTAAAGCAAACACATGCGCGCACCGTACCCTCAAGGGGTTGGGTTAAACTTGTAACTTTTTTTGGTGTGAATTAGGGCCTAATGTCTTTTATGTAGATGCATACACGTCCTTTTCTTTTTGTAGTGAAATTGTTTTAGACGTGGAATATAAAGCAAATAATCACCTTTTGGTTTCAGGCGATGGCAAACTATCACTTTCTCGTCGATCAGAATGTATACGCTATCTTTCCTCAGCTTCGCTTCGGAAAGATAGCTACATCCAGATCGCCTCGGAAGTGATAGTTTGTCCCATCACCTTCACCAACGGTAGTTATTTGCTTATTATATCCCACATACTAAGAATCTTGCTCTACGATTGGCCAAAAGTAAATCATGTGATGAAAGATAGTTCGCCCATTATTGATGGGAGAAGCAAAAATTCGTTACACTGTGTAGATAGTACTACTGTGTAGATAGTACTACTATCTACACAATGTAACGTACTTTCACTGAAGATAGAGGTACTATCTACACAGGGCAACGCACTTTCACTGAAGATTATCCCAAAGCGCACTAAAACAGGCGTAATTAAGCGCGCATGACCAATGAGCGCAATCAAAGAAAACACATGCGCGCACCGTTACCTCAAGGGGTTGGGTTAAACTTAAACTTTGTTGGTGTGAATTTGGGCCTAGGTGTTTTTTTATGTAGATGCATACACGTCCTTTTCTTTTTGTAGTTAAATTGTTTTAGATGTGGAATATAAAGCAAATAATCACCTTTCGGTTTCAAGCGATGGCAAACTATTACTTTCTCGTCGATCAGAATGTATACGCTATCTTTCCTCAGCTTCGCTTCGGAAAGATAGCTACATCCAGATCGCCTCGGAAGTGATAGTTTGTCCCATCACCTTCACCAACGGTAGTTATTTGCTTATTATAACGATCCCTCATATAACTACATTACAAAGCGTAAAAATTAACGTTTTGAATAGTCACGGGGAGACAGTTTTGGAAGTGGCAGATTTCACAATTTAAATATTTATAAATATGCATAATTACATATCCTTCATACTGTTGATTTAACAGTATAGTTGTATGTCATAGGCAATGAAAAAGGAGGAAGCTATAAATTGTATGAAACGTGATTTAACTGAAATGGTCATTGTATAATACGCCACGTATATTACAAACATGCAATATCTTCTAGTTGTACGTAATCTTATCATGTCTCCTCAGACTTTGATTTTTAATCCATCTTGATTGCTGTGTGGGTTTAGTCATGACATGTTATTTACCTAAATATTACATTTATCAGATTAATACATTTTTGTATTTCCTTGTAAGATTTGCTATTTTTCTATGTTTTGGCAGAAGATCCACGACGCATATTTTTCTGTGACTTTTTTGTGCAACGAACTTTCTACAAGGACTTAAACCAACCTCTCACAATGGCTCACGAGCTCACAGACTACATGAATGACCCTGACATCGATGGCGATGAAGAGCGAAAAGACCTGCGTGGTATAGGCTACTTCAATGGCACCCTCTACTGGACGAAGCAAGGCAGTCACGAAGGCATCGCTGTCATGACTAATTATGATCAAACCAGTCCATCATTTGACATCAAAGAAACCAGTGAGATAAACAAACCCGTTCGATTGCTCATCCTTAATGTAGATCCATGATCAATATTTGACAGAACAGAGTCCGGGGTCCATTGTGAGTTTGATTCAACGCAGTCAACATTGTCATTTAAGATATAAAATGGGAAACCACCGACGAAAAAACACGTTTTTTTTTTCGTTATTGGTTTCTTTAATGTAAATTAATGGCAGCAAATAATAATGCGCGGATTCACAGAGCTCATAGAAATGTGAAATTATTGCACTTCATGATTATGTCACTATATAAAAAAAAACTCGATGCGGTTTTGCCACCTCATATCTAAACGAGGCTTTAAAAGACAGAAGGGGGGTCGGGCTATTTACACAAATTGTTCCTAAAAATTGAAAATAATTACGTTGGAAATTTTGCTGGTAGCAGGGGGCGGCGATCCCGGGATGGGGGACGAGGGTACACGCCCCTCCTCAAATTTTTAGGGGAAGGGGAGGGGGTCGTCCCGCCTCAAAATTTGAAAAAAGTGCCACAAAAAATGTAAAGCAAATACTGACTAAAGGCTGCAACACACTTTTAGGCTCTGGAGGGCCCAAGAGTGCAGCGTTTAGACAAATAAAAATGCAAAAATCTCCATAATATCTTTCAAAATGAATAAGTAAATACCAAGAAAAAACAATTGTGGAAAAAGTTTATTGCTTGTTTTTTGGCTAAGGACTGTAATATTCAATACAAAACTTCAAAAACATGTGAGGGGGTATTCACTTCCGTCATTCACTATGGCTCCCTCGCACTTGCGTACTGATTGGGGCAGGGGATGGAATCAGTCTCCCCCAAGTGAAATTCAAACGTGGTTTATTTCTAACTCGATACCAGTGATTTACAAATGTTGCTAAAATGGCATGATTTTTCCCTGAGCTTCCGGGCTCTGCCCCCTGGACCCCACCGAGCGCCCGAAGGCCTGCCCCTGGTTGCTCATCTGAACGTAATTTTAATGCCTAAAACCCCTGAGCTTCTGAGGGCTCCGCCTCTGGATCCCACCCTAATTAGTGACCTGCATGCAAGTGTCACAAATAAGGTATCAAAATATGCTCATGTGACCTTAATACATGCCTAAAACCCCTTCGCCCCTTGACACCCGCCGGGGCTTTTCCCCTGGACCCCACGCCAATTTACGATCCACATTGCTTTGCTATGCTCTACCTAATGGTAAATACTTTGCCCCCTCCTCCCCCCCCCCTATTTGAAAAACGTTCCCAGGGCCTGCGTATTAACATGTAGATTTTTTCTGCCACCCTAAACATTTTTTGCTTATTACGCCACTGCTCCCTCGTCCCCCTCCTCCCGGTCATGAAAAGAAATCGCCGCCCCTGGCTGGTAGAATATTATAATGTCGGACTTTAAAAAAAAATCCCACTCTCCGCTGTGGCTACACATTATTGAGAGTGACATATTGAATTATTGCAGGCTATATTTTCTAGAATGTAGGCTAATGCTGAAAGGTATCGGGGTCATTTTAGAGGAACGATTAAAAGTCTACGTTATTTCTTTTTCATGTTATGTCTTGTTGAGGTTTTGATTTTAAT